CGATTGGTGATGTCTCTGTGGCGGTTGATAATATTTTATCATATTTGAAGTCACATTAATCATAGATCAAAAGACATCTGTAAATGTAAATGTAATTTCAACTGCTGTTCAAATGAATCTAGGCATCTATAGGTGTTTCAAAGTAAATTATTGATAAAAGCGATATGATAATACTTAACGATTTCACGTTTCATCATTTTCATTTTCAGTATAAATTCCAAATTTAACAAATCTCATTTTGAAGTCTAAAATGTTTCAGCATGAGTATTTATGGGTATCAGTCAAATAATACACACAATGACTATATTGATATATGGCATGCTCATCTGTTTCGAGTTTGAATACGACCATCAAGATCTGCTTTCGAGGGTTATTCTCCAGTGAAGGGGGCGGTCGGGTAGCCTAGTGGTTAAAGCGTTCGCTCGTCACGCCGAAGACCCGGGTTCGATTCCCGACATGGGTACAATGTGTGAAGCCCATTTCTGGTGTCCCCCGCCGTGATAGTGCTAGAATATTGCTAAAAGCGACGTAAAACCATACTCACTCACTCACTCACTACAATGAAGGGCGAGGTCACTTTACGACGGACAAGTTATTCAACGATCCTCCAACTCCGGGAAATAGTTGTCTTTCAATCAATTACAACTGACAGGTGCACCCCGGTCCCTGAATTATCATTAATTAGTAGCGCCGTATGTTTATGCGTACTTCAACAGCCCTGACATGGATGACATCGTCCTTGAATACAATGGCGTCGTCAATTATTTGATGAAATAAGTTCAAATAACAATGATTCAATGACAACAGAAACGCCTGGTTAGGAGGATGCTGAGAAACTTCAACCGCAAGACAACTAGTCATTAGCACACACACATTTGTGGTGAGGTAAATTTGGATTTAAGATCGCGTGGACATTATTACACGTGTAAAGCGACCTGCATGCACTTATGTGTGGCTACTTGTACTAGTCCCAAAATTATGGTGCTAACACACTGACATTCCATGCTGTAGCTGACCACTCCTTGTTTTATCCCCTTAACGCCGACCCCCGGGCTGGTACATCTTTAACGTCTCTTGGCATGACACGACCAAGATGTCGACAAACAAACTCTCCCTGCAGACTCTCTATCCACAAGACCATAAGGGTAGACTACACACATTTTTTTATTGTAAGTGAGTGAGTGACTATGATTTTACGTCGCATTGGCAATTTCAAGCTATTACGACAGGGGACACCAGAAATGGGTTATACACATTGTACTCATGTGTGGAATCGAACCCAGATCGTTGGCGTGACGAGCGAACGCTTTGGCGACTAGGCTATCCCACCGCACCTTACTGTAAGTAGTAATATGATTGAATATATTGAAAGATGTACTGCTGGCAGGGAAATACTCCCGCAGAACGGCATGCAATGAATATGTAGCACCACATGTTCAACCTAGTAAGACAGCTTTGAGGTGATTCAAATAACTGTCAGGCCTCGATATGGGGAATTAGCTATTGCGAGCTAGCCTTGAGACAAGAGAGGAGAGAGCTGTGCGGTCCTTAGGGTTTATTCAAGCCAGTGTGTTATATCATTCAAGTTACATTAATTAATATAAAATAGTGACGTACAATGATAATAATGATAATAATGATAATGATATCCTAACAGTTTCAATCTAAATCTTGGAATAAAAGCAATGTATGTTATATTGGAGTATGCACGGTATGCACGGATGCAATATTTACGAGAGTAATAACGGTAATGCCAAATAACATTTCTTAACAGCTAAATTGAGTAATCGTAAATAATTAATAGAGTATGTACGGTAAAACCTACATGACAATTCTATGTGTGGTATGTCGCGCCTATTTGGGTAACTACGGTAAACCATTTATGGCTATTCACATTAACGAAAATAAATACGTAGAGCATATACGGTAGACTGCGCAAACTGTTCAGATGAGGAACATGACATGTGCTTCTAAAAAGACGGTAAACATTCATATTTGTAGTTTTAGTAATAACTTTCACAACATAATAATTTCGGCAAATAAGGAAGGTAAATATTTGATCCAAATAAAGATATGAATGTGGGAGGTAGAATATATAGCGGTTTTAGTAAGTGTAATTATTAGTTTGATTAGTGATTATTTTGGTGACTATGGTAATGTATCAAGACGGCTAAGTTGCTACTGACTACGCGCATGTCCTTAATATCTACGGAGCTAGACGATAAGAACTAAGGAGTGAATACGGTAATTGTATACTTAAACGGTGCGCATTCGAATGCACGTTGTTATGTGGTATAAAGGATGACTATAAATGTATTTAATTGTTGTGTAGGCTGTGTTGTACCGTCTACAATTGTATCATGGACGGGTCAAGTTACAATATATTCAAATCCTTACTTCATGAGGATAAAACCTAAGAAATATGGAATGCGTTGTTATAGCCTATTCGGTAACCGCGCACGGAAGGTAAAACTGCTCATATAACCTTTGATCGCTGGACTGTCGGAAAGTATGGAATAACAGACCTACGTATAAAATAAATCTTGCTTGAAACAGTTGTGTTAACTCTAGGAACCGTTTTCTGACTAAGATACATGTTCGCTACGCTACTGCACGGAAATATCTGGCATGTTGAAAGATATTGAAACGAGGGAGGAGAGAGCTGTGAGGTCCTTAGGGTTTATTCAAGCAAGTGTGCCGAGGACCAACACCCAAGGAGTTATATACCCCAACAGCTCTAATCGTATCACATTAACAATTACTTTGAAGTTGTAATTTCCGTCTGTGTTATCTGCCATAGGCTGTCAAAGTTGACTACACAAAACAGGTGGTAATAGAACAATTTCAGTATTGGGTAACAAGTGTTGATTTTAATTACAGTTTTTGACGATGGTCAAAACCTGCGCCAGCTGGTAACAAAACATTTATCAAGAGAACAAGGGCCGGGGCGGACGTACGCGCTGAATTTATTATATTATCTATGATTACGTACTTTACTGTTCGCGTGAATGAGCTGACCAAGGCATGGCAGACCAGTGGGGATAAAAACGAGAAAGACATTTTAGCAATTCCTAGGATAAGTTTAATTTGTGAAAAATATAAAAAGGTATAATGAAATATATGCACTGTATATGCACTAGTATCCCGCGGTGCGGGTAGCTCCGCTATCCAGTTACTTATTACATTGCAGTTGCTAAGATCCTGCAGAAGATCTAGACACACACTTCAAAGAAAAACAACAACACCCGATTCACATGCAGTCTGCATGTCTGCATGTATACTGGGACATTGTTGTAATTAGCATGTTTGTTACAAATGATCATACAATGAAGTTTGATAGACTTTTAGAAGTTGGAAGAACGTGAATACATGACATTTTTTATAATATCTTCTTTTATTCATTATAACGACGTTTCAGAGCTACTTCTTGACCATTCATAAGATGAATAACGAGTAAGCATATACATATGTACAAATATATGTGCAAAGATCAAAATATAATGACGAAGCCAATTAAGTCTAATGAAGGTGTGGTGATGGGGCTGGGTGTAAGAACAAGGCGCTGACTATGGTAACCCTAGCAGTCACAATAAGGCAATCAAGCTTTCCATTTGTGGTAGATCATATGATTAAAGCACATTGGAGTACACGCTGTGTTGATATATCGCATTGTTTAATGCTGTCTTCTCTGGATTTCATTAGTTTCATACAATGTATATTCTTAATCCCACGGGGAGCACGGGTGGCCCAGTCGTCTAAGGCGTCGCGATTCGCTGTGCAGAGTTGCGTCCCTTTGGCACGCCAGAAACCTCTTGGTTCGAACTCCGGTTCGCCCCGATTATGTTTCTAGGTTTGTCAGCACCATACCCGTGCTCCTGGGTTTCACCGAAGTGGTAAACGTCTGAGACCTGCATCACTTCGGGCTTTCCTCACACATTAAGCTGACACGTCGTGATATAACTGGAATACTGTGAAAAGCGGCGTTAAACCCAACTCACTCACTCACTCTTAAACCCAAGAATAACACTCATTAATCAGTGTCATGAATCATAGTTTACATCATAGGTACCAAGTTTATATATAATATGGCAGAGAAGACTACTGGATTAACAAATTGGTTTGATTTAGACACTGTTTCATTGAAGTCTTCTTTTTCTATCATTTTGGGGCAGGAATTAGTGAGAACCGTTCCAGTATGAAAATATGTCATTTACTGGTCACTCTTGTTAATATTTGCTAAGGTTTGATACAATGATTTACTTCAGAAAGGACATTATACGTTGTAGCAGTATCACTCGGGGTACATGTGGTTTTATGCGTCCCGCGTTGGGTTTTATACCACGAGTGGTAGGCATACAAGGCTACATCCCGCGTGATACTGCCACAATATTGTTTTTTTACCGACATGTTTTAATATGACATTGTAAAAGAATTTAAACCAATTCAAAATTGATAGAAAACAGCTGTTCGATTGTGTGGTTAAGTCTGTCACTTAACTTTCATTGACTTTTTGCTTAGAAGCGGGGTATTAGGGATTTATTCTCCCTCTCAGAAGTCCACGTGCAACCCGTCTTGTTCGTGGAGGGGTGTAAGGGATATATTTTCCCGCTGAGAAATGTACATGGCGGGATACATAGTATTTTATCAAGATCACACAAACCAATCAGATCTCATTATTCTGACATGGAGGAAGTGTATTACACTACATAAACGAAAGCCTCTTCCGCCACAAGTCTACATCCTGTCCCAATTCTATCCTTAAATAAGGACAAACATACAATAATACAACAATGTAACTACGAACTAACAACACACATGTTATATCATTCTGTCGTACAGTTTTCTTGAAAACGACATATGATTGAAATACCCATATGACGTTAATACCTTGTTTCAGACTCCATAAATGTACGTCAATACACATACACCCTGCGGCCCTTAGAAAATGCGTGCTTATTATCACGTCCGCATTACGTTTGATTGGGTCCTTTCTCGTTCCATGAGAGAATGATGCCAGGTTGACAGGATTCTGTAAGTCTCTATAAAGTTGCCTTATCTAGCTGCAGCTTCATTAGTTCTACAGCTACACGAATCAGCATGGCAGGACCTATCTTACTTTTGGTATGTTGAATTTAATCTTTAGAATGTGGTAAAGTTATGTTGGACAGTTATTTCTTTTTATAGGCTTACGATGTTTCCATTTCGTTTTAACTGTGGGTCACTGCTTTGATGGTCCGTAGTTTATCTTTGCAAAGGATCATTCATGGACATTTTGATGGTTTTATTGATATGTTAAATCACAGCTATTTTATTGAAATAATGTTTACAATATGACCTTAACACTCACTCACAATTGTATTCACAGGCAATTACGTTGCTCGCTACAGTGGTCTCCGCAACGTTACCTTCACAGCCACCTAGTTCTTGTGCCGTAAGTAAGAATCAGACTTTACATAAACTAATTGCATAAATTAATTATCCCCGTGGCCATGGGGAGAATTGGTCCCCAGCAACGTATCCTGGATGTAAGAGGCGACCAGGTGGTCAGGCTCGGTGTCATCGTACCCCGAAAGCATTGATTGTTGCTCATACTATGGGTCGCTGGATTGTCTGACCAGACTCAACTGTTCACAGACCGCCGTCATGTAACTAGACTGTTGCACATCTTCCCGAGGCATGGATGTTAACTGACTACAAAAGTCAAGTTACCATTCTTGCCGAACTACGCTAGAATTTCGTAGCTCGATCGTATCGCCACTGGTGGCTATTACGAGTTTTGTCCCTTCTATGTCACCCCTTTTGACCAATCAATATTTGTTGTAATAAAACGGGTCTTACCTCGTGAAGTGCACCAAATCATTTAAACATCTTGTATTAAAACATGAAACGAATTGGACAATATATTGCATGTTGACAGTACAGATGCTTTGCTTTAGAAGCCACATAAAATCTGAGTGAAAAGCTCTATGTATTTAATTTGACTGTTGTTAAGTTTATCACATAATCAGCATTTACCTTGTTCCCAAACGCTACAAGTTTTAAAGGAAACATAACAATCTTTAAAAAACATATCCAACGGTTCATTATTCATTTTTCTGTACAGGCGATCCATTGTGGTCCAGGAACTGCGTGCCAGGTACAGACCATTTTCTGTATTACAACTCCATGCCCACCACCAGTTGCAAGATGTGTCCCAACGAGTGAGTAAATGGAGTGAGATGGCTTTTGTTTGCTACATATACTGAACAAAATGAATGACTTATACAATGCAAAAAAAGTAAGGGGTCATGAATTTGTCTAGGGATAGGTTTATGATATTTTCACTACCAAAAAAATTCATGACCTCTTACCTTTTATCATTATAATATTCATTAGCTGGTTTTCCATATAATCTTTAAGGACAAAATAGGGAAGATTATATAGTGCCTTTACAACATTATTAGACAAGAGCTAAGATATGTAGCAAAATATGCTTATATACCTTTTTCAAAACATGCTTTTCTTTGTAATGACATGTAGTTACGTATCTAACTGTTTGATTCATAATACATAATCCGATATAAAATCCAAAAATGAAGATAATCAGTTTTCTTTTAACGGCAATATTCAAATGTAGTGCATCAATGGCTGCTCAGATATCAATTACAGATCTAGATGCAACCCAACCCAAAATCTATGCAGATTTTAACTACAGTTGCTCCAACTAAATCAGCTATGTAGAGCGTCTCCACGGTGTTTGTTTCAGATAAACCAGGATCATGTCCAGTGCAAGACGGTCTCATAGGTGCTTGTGTAGTGCGGTGCAACAATGACGCTGACTGTTTTGGGAACCAGAAGTGTTGTGGATCCTGTCCCCGACAGTGTACTGATCCAGCCCCTCCTTTAGACAAACCGGGCTTCTGTCCCTACATCGTGAACCCCTACCCGGGGTACTGTCCCGTCCCACACCGATGCAGGAGCGACTTTGACTGCTATGGCCGAGCAAAGTGTTGTGGGTCTTGCCCAAGGAGATGTGCTAGTCCTTACCCTTTTTTCACCAAAGGGTGAAGTGCTGGAAATACAATTTAGTTATTATTAATGACCTTGTTATTTTTCTATCTGTCAAACCAGCCTTCTGAAAACAACAATTCACATGGCTGAACATCATGTTCTCTATACGTTGATATTGTTTTACTTTCATTTTGTAGGAAACAAAACAAAAGCAATTACCAATTACAATAAAACGTTTTAATTACTAGCACGAGTGGATCTTATATTTTCTTAAGGTTGAGGAGTCAGATGTTGCCCAGTCTCCAAAGGCGCCGCTATTCGCTTTATATAGTTGTACCCCTTAGCAGTGCCAGGATCGTTTGTTTGATGGTCAGTTTCATCCTTATTATAACCCATGGTTTGTTCGCGCCTTACGTGTGGTTTCACCAAGGTGGTAAACGTATACTTTCCTTCCTCTTATGACTCAATTCTGGCTTTCTTCCCTGGGATATTTAGCCTGATTAAAGATGTCCCTTACAGTGTTCCATACTGATAGGTACTCAGCTCGTATATTGCATGAAAAGAAAGATAGTACAAGTTATTGGAGCGCAGATTCATCTACATCTCTTGCTTACAGTGGCGAGACCAGCCAGGTGAACGAAACAAGTGATCATTAATTTTCCTGCCCACTCTTCGTGAGTAGTGTTTCACTAATCGGTAGTGATTCACAAACACATGAATATCATATAGTCGGAATCGTACAACTGACAAATTTCTTATGATTGTGGAACTAGTTTATTCGCTTTTATTTATTTCGGGGCTCCAAAACCCTTCAGGTACAGGAAACAGTTTTCTGGAATAGTTATGTGCCGACAAAGTAATAAGGGGCATGGCTCCTTTGTCATCTACTCGACAAACCTAAGATCGTGGGTTCGAATTCCGGTTCACCATGATTATATTTATAGGTCTGTCAGCACCATACCCGTGCTCGTAGGTTTCGTCAAAGTGGTAAACATCTGAGACCTGCATCACTTCGGGCTTTCCTCACACATTAAGCTGACATGCCGTGATATAACTGGAATACTGTGAAAAGCGGCGTTAAACCCAACTCACTCACTCACTCATAATCCCAAGAGTAACACTCATTAATCAGTGTCATGAATCATAGTTTACATCATAGGTACCAAGTTTATATATAATATGGCAGAGAAGATTACGGGATTAACAAATTGATATGATGTTTTCTGTCGTGCTCATTCAGACACCTTTTCATTGAAGTCTTCATTTTCTATCATTTTCTAGCACGAATTAGTGAGAACCGTTCCAGTATGAAAATATGTCCTTACCTGGTCACTCTTGTTTAGAGGTTTGACATAATGATTTATTTCAGAAATGACATTATACGTTGTTACAGTATCACTCGTAGCATACAAGCCTACATCCCGCGTGATACTGCCACAATATTGTTTTCTTACCGACATGTTTTAATATGACTTTGTAAAAGAATTTAAAGCAATTCAAAATTGATAGAAGACAGCTATTCGATTGTGTGCTCAGGTTAACTCTGTCACTTGACTTTCATTGACTCGGAAAAATCGTGAGGCGTTTTGCTTAGAAGCGGGATATTGGGGATTAGGCTTTCCTCCCACATGAAACTGAAACGCCGTGGTTTACTCAGTATAATGACTCCGAGCCGACCAGTCCTTGTTTTACCCCCTTAATGCCGAGCGCCAGGCAGGGTAACAACAAGTACAATCTTTTATCGTCTTTGGTATGACACGGCCGGGGATCGGACCCATAACCTTCCGCTCTGCGGGCAGACGCTCTATTCACTAGACGCCGGAGGCGGTCTGTAATATTGTAAGAAGCATAGCAAAAAACTGAGTAAATATAAGCAGTTTTCGTATAAATTTATACAGGTATGTAGATTAACATCAACCTCTTGATTAGAAAACCAGATGCCGCTCACGGCAATTGGTCGCAAATAACATCCAAGCAAAATTCATCAAAATCGTAACTAAAGTGTCCAATTCAACAACAGGTCAGAGGGGAAAAGAAGCGAATGCACCTCAGGAAGCTGTTCAGCAATCAAAGTAACGAGAAAATAATAGAAATTTCGACCAAATAAACAAATAATTAAAATAACGAGAAATTTCGTTTCAAATAAATACAATTAAGTTACCAAAGTGACACCAGTAGGCTTTTGTAGATTATAGCCCGATCAACCCCACAAGTCTTTGAAATAAATATATTAATCATCATTTGATATGTAATTTTCTTCATGAGGAAGAAAGTAATATAATGCCACATGTAATAACCATGTCCCTAGACCTCCTCATAATTAAGAAGTAACGAAATGGGGTCACCAGGTGTGTGATGCCGAGATCGTGAGACAAATAGGTGATCTTATGATCTTGCTTGACGGTGTTTTGTGGAAGACTCACAACAACATCCGCCATTTTTCACGAACAGCCTCACGTTGTGTTTTCTATTTACATTCCTAGACACGGAACCTCGTGCAGTGGAATACAATTGGATGGATGGATGTATAGTATTGAAGATCGCACGTTTACATCGTTAACGTCCGAACTGTCATATCCTGATGACGGAGAAACATATCCTGCAGCTATCATTTTTTCTTTTTTTCTTTTTAAATTGCGTATGTCCGCATGGTTTTTGATTGGATCTTGTCCTCGGAGGGACGTACACACTGAAACAGTCTTCTGACCAAGGCTTTTGACACAGCTTCTGTGACAGGCTTTTCCTGGGAATGACGTAAACATCCAAACAGGATCTGTGCCAGGCTATATAAGCCGCCCTAGCTCCACATCTAGTCTATCAACTCCAGGAAACAACATGGCCGTATCTAGCTACACTTTGGTATGTTTAATTAAATTGTTGTCTTATAAATATAAGAGTTGTGAAATTGATTTTCGGCCAAAGGTTTTCATAGTTTCCATTAAATCTGGCAATTTGAATCAATTCAGAAATTATTTATTGTCAGTCAAAATCATAGCAACATGTAAAGCAATTCGTTGTGCAGAGTCGGTTCAATCCAAGAATCAAATAATCATCAGTTAGAATCCAATATTCGTCCTGACCTATGATCTTAGGTTTGTCACCATTCCGAGCTTGTGAATTTCACCAACCATGTACATTGTTAAAGCTGCATCACTTTGACGTTTGTCCCAGATGAATGAAACTGATGTGTCGTTATGTAACTGAAATACACTTCGTATGAAATTTAGCGTAAAACTGACTGAGTCACTACTTCTCTTAACAATTATTATTGATGAGGCCTACAACTAACATTGCCCTTTCAATCTAATTCATTCATATTGTATTCGCAGGCAATTCCGTTGCTCGCTGCGGTGGTTTCCGCAAATTTCCCAACACAACAACCTACTTCTTGTGCCGTGAGTATGAATCTGATTGTACATATACAACTTCGACATGTTGACCGAGAGGAAACCTCAAAATATCTTCATATCTTTCTCTGAACATGTAATATAATGAACATATAATGAGCCGCTATGATCCAGTGTCCAATTATTGAAATTGTTGACTTTTTACAACGTTCAGACACTCATATCGAAATGCTCTATCATATTTAAACCATTGTTAATATTCAAAGAAATCACATGTAGGCTGCTTCAATGGTTGAACAACCATTCTCCACAGTTCACTGTTCCATGTTCAGAAAATAGAACTCTGATCAAGAAAATGTACATTTTCTTTTTCTGGTCATTTGTTTTTACGAAAATCAACAAAATCACACGTACATGTACTTTCAGTAAAATACAAATGTCTCATTCCATGAACGGCTTAGATCTTTGTCTTGGTATTGGTAAATATTGTGTTGTGTTCCATGTTGTCATGGCAGAAAAGTATATTCGTTTGCCTGCGGTTATAGACTTCACAGGTACGAATGCCGCAGGCGACAGACACATTTCATCCACTCACCCTCATCAAACTTTAAAATTCAAAAAGTAATTTGCATAACAATTTAGTTATTTAAAGTCAAGCCAAAGGAGCCATGGTTTAAATACCCCTGACTATATCAACTTTTTAAAATTGATTTATTTATGCATAATGTAAAACATTAAACATTAATGCTTTAATTGTGTTATATTATTTCCGCTTTCTTTCTTTCTGTCAGTTTCTAAAAATATTTATAAAGTTTTTCTGCTGTTAACCGCTACGACGAACTACAATATACATGTATACATGTATGTTAAACTCACTTTAACCTGGCTTTAATGTTTACTTGTAACTCTGGCCTCCAACCCGTGCTTGTTGTATTTTCCAAAGTGGTAAATGTCCTCTATCATTTAGGCTTTCATCCCACATCCAGCTGACACACCGTGATATGATTGGAGTGCTGTTCAAAGCAGCGTTAAACCTAACTCACTACTATGTTTTCTGATGGCAATGAATAAGGGAACGCTTAGTTTTAGACACAGTAAAATGATATGTTATCATGGGTTCCATCCTTGTCTACCAAATACGCGTTGAAAACAACATTTGATTCTGTCACGTTGAATTTGTATGCACGATATGTAAAATGTAATGAAAGTAAAGTTTATTTCCCTATGTTTTTCATTGTTCCCTAGCTTGTTCGTTTCTATCAATATATATATAATAGCTCATTGTTTTGTTTTCTTTCAATGTTCAGGATATGAAGCTACATTCAATGAAAACGTCTTTCTATTCTATATTTCCAGTTACTATTTGTGATCCCCCCCTATAGTGTAGTTACATGATAATGATTTCTAATTGACGTACTGTTTTGTAATGGCACCGAGGACATTTGGAAATTGCAAAGAACGATTTGTAATATAAATTCATTTCCAACGGTCCATTTTTTGTGTCACTACAGGCAGTCTTTTGTGGACAAGGAACTGTTTGCAGGGAAGAGACTTATGTTTGCGTAACGACGCCATGTCCAGGACGAGTTGCACGTTGTGTTCCAATCACTAGTGAGTAAAGGGAATGACATGTACAAAACATGTATACAATCATGACGAGTAAAGGGAATGACATGTACACAACATGTATACAATCATGAGGAGTAAAGGGAATGACATCTACACAACATGCATACAATCATGACGAGTAAAGGGAATGACATGTACATAACATGAATACAATCATGACGAGTAAAGGGAATGACATGTACACAACATGAATACAATCATGACGAGAAAAGGGAATGACATCTACACAACATGCATACAATTATGAGGAGTAAAGTGAATGACATGTTCATAACATGAATACAATCATGACGAGAAAAGGGAATGGCATGTACACAACATGTATACAATCATGATAAGTAAAGGGAATGGCATGTACACAACATGAATACAATCATGACGAGTAGAGGGAATGACATGTAGATTGCATGCATACAATCATGACGAGTAAAGGGAATGACATGTACACAACATGTATACAATCATGGCGAGTAGAGGGAATGACATGTACAAAATATGTATACAATCATGAATAGTAAAGTGAATGACATGTACACAACATGAATACATTCATGAGGAGTAAAGGGAATGACATGTACACAACATGAATACAATCATGACGAGTAAAGTGAATGACATGTACACAACATGAATACAATCATGAGGAGTAAAGGGAATGAAATGTACATTATATGTATACAATCATGACGAGTAAAGGGAATGGCATGTACCCAACATGAATACAATCATGACGAGTAAAGGGAATGACATGTACATTGCATGCATACAATCATGAGGAGTGAAGGGAATGACATGTACATGACATTGATACAATCATTTGAAGTTAAGAGGAAAAGCAAGGAGAATACGCACTGCTTTTGGAACTTGACAAAAACATTTGAACGTGAAAGAACAACGGATAATATCTAAGTAAGATCACGAAGAGCTATGTTCCAATCAGTGAGTAAAGAAAATAAAATGTCTCTAGTTTGGTACACGACATGTATTTGACCATGAGGTGTTAAATCCCAAAGTGAGGCATTGTATCCCTTATCTAACATTAATCTCAACCATATAGGTCGACTAACTTTATTCCCAGAAATAAAGTCCTCTCATTTAAAAATATAGATATCTTCAAAATATTGCGTAAAATTCAAATGAAGCCCAGAACAATGCTCAATTTCAGGGCTGAGATTTGCCAAATCATTCTAGACTTGAATCGGATTCCTTTCGTAATATATTCTCTAGGGTATGGCAGTATTGAATCCAATTATAGAAATACCTTACTCTATCATTTTTACATGTAAGAGCTGTATTAAGTCCCCGACAAATGTACCTACATTGGATTCCTCCCCTTTTTAGCTAAGAAACCAGGATCATGTCCAGTGCAGGACCCGGGCCTTGGTGGTATCTGTGTATCGCTATGCTCTACTGATGCTGACTGTAATGGGCACCTGAAGTGTTGTGGAGGCTGCCCCAGAGAATGTACTCGTCCGGCCCCTCCTATAGTCAAACCAGACATCTGTCCCAAGAGTCCAACCCCAAACTGGTATCAGCGAGGCAACTGTCCCCTATCACACAAGTGCAGGAACGACTCTGACTGTGGCCGTAACTCAAAGTGTTGTGGAACTTGCCCACGGAAATGTGCCAATCTCACCAGAGGATGAAGAATAAACTTAATGCAATCCCCTACTGGTACCGGCGGGGCTATGTCTCAAACGACACCAGTGCAGGAAGGACTTTGACTGTAGCGGCAAATCAAAGTGTTATGAATCCTGCCCACGAAAATGTGTCAGTCCTTACCCTCATCTCACCATGGGACCAAGAGCTCTAAAATAAACTTAATGCAATCAGGTAATTGATGTGATCTAGTGTTGTTACTTTCTGTCCCATAACAGAGGTTGTCTACTTTTAGCTGTTATTGCTTATGATTATAGAAAATTAATTTAATTGTTTTGTAGCTTTAATTCTAAAAGAAGCACCACAAATAGTTGAAAAAATGTATATCCCTTGTAGCCTATGTTAAAGTAATAATATTGTGTTTTTCCCATGTAATTAAAAGCAAGCGAATGTGATTACTTATAATTACAAATGATTTCATTTGGGTGTTTTCATGAGTGCAATGCTGAGAATATGTGTATAATTCAAAACCTGAAGGGTATGCAAATTCTTTAATTGCATATTTCTCGGTAAACCTAAGAAATCTGAACGAGATAATAAAAAAACATTGCTTAACGTCTTACCGCCAGCAATATTCCCACATTTTGACAGCGCCGTGTTAATAATCGAGTCTGGACAAGGTGCCAAGTGACTGAAAATGCATGAATGCATGATCAGCTGTCGGTGTACAGGGAATCCACCAAGTCACGCAGGCTGGCAACCTGATCCAATTTAATGTTTGAATGGTGGTTAACGCCGCACTCAGAAATAGCACAGCTATATGACGGCGGCCTGTAAATAATCGAGTCGGGGCCAGACAATCCAGTGGTTGACATCATGAGCATCGATCCGCTTAATTGGGGTACGATGACATGCATCAACCATCTCAGCGACCGTGATCACCCGATCCCGTTAGTCGCCTCTTACGACAAGCATAGTCGCATTTTACGGCAAGCATGAGTTGCTGATGACCTATTCTACCCCGGACCTTCACGGGTCTCCTCTTCTCCGGAATACCAGTTTATAAATGGTAACTTGTCAATCTGCACAAACAGATATACGATACTTACTAACGCTCTGCCCTTCCTACACTTTTAACTAAAAGCGACAAAACCCTTTCCATGTTCGTAAAAATATCTTCTGAAATTAGAGTACACTGTTCGATTCCGACAATGTGTAGTTATGAATCACAACCAAAGAGTTATGATACCAGGTGTTCGCGAAAATGTGAGAGTATCTTGTCCCAATAGTGACACCCGTCACGAACAAAAGGTTATTCCCAAATGGAAGGTGTTCACATCTGACCATGGATAACAGCTAGCAGTCAGGTGTTAGCTGAGTGAGGTGCGGTGTGGTAAAATGGGGTTTGACGTCGCCTATTGCACTTATTTAGCGACGCGTGAGTGTGCGTGTGTGTGTGCGTGTATGCGTGTATGCGTGTATGCGTGTGTGCGTGTGTGCGTTTGTGTCTGCTTGTACTAGTCCGGAATAATGCTGGTTTTAATGGATTTCCCATACATGTACAGTGTATGAGAACCAATCCGCCTTTTATCCCCTTAATGCCAATCGCCAAGCAGGGTAACAAGCACCATCTTTAACATACTTTTGGTATCACGTGGCCGGTGATCGAATCACCGACCTACTGCTCTTCGGGCAGACGCTCTAGCCACTAGATCACTGAGGCGGTCTGTTAGACGGAACATCTAGCCAGAGACATCTCGACATTTGGACACCTAGCACACACTAGAACCAGACATGTTTGACATAATACTGAAGGGCACTTTCTCATTCCGACCAGATGTATTGTTTTACATTATTATCTCAATGCATTTTAATAATGCTGAAATGAACATTATGATAATATTTATTTTATGAGAGAAACGCTACACTCAAGGTCAGATTTAATGCGAACATATGGCACACAGGAACAACCAGAAACGGAATGATAATGGGCAACATCGATTATCCAGTTGTTGGTGGTGGTATATCAGCTCCACACCATGTTGATGGTCGCTCTGGGCACATTCGTGGTCCTGGAAATAAAATCATTGGTTTATCAATACTCCAGATGTCAGCTGACAGTATGACGCTGTTCTTTTGTCAATCTTGGCATTTTTATTAATTGTCAGATGTAGATATTCTGAGGTCATGTGGGGCTGCCCACCCCTTGCACTGGAAGCAAAGGTACATAGTTATCCTACATATTTCTAGTACAACGGGTTTTTGAGAGTATATCAGAAACAATTGCTATCGTCATGAGTGTTCATATATTTCTAATATCACAAGACACGAGAAATGATAGTTATTATCAAATATCGTTTCAGTTTATGAAGGAAGAATTTTTCATGAGAAATTACATTACGACGATATTAACGGCAGGGTAATTTATGTAAAAACCACAGACGAACTGCACACTGATATTAATTAAACAACATAAATAGTTCAAGTATATTACACCCCTTGAAGTATTATGAAGGTAACGTGGTTGTAAAATGACAAACGTCAAGAAGTTTGGTAACTGCTGGGTGAAGATTCCGAAGTGAAACAAATCACAACAACCAGTAATTCAGCTTCTGCAAATTGGAGTGTCTCATGCGTTGATGTTGTGACACATGACAGTCATCAGTGTCACTGTCAAACTCGGGTCGTCGACGTCAACTTATATAAATCGATTTGACCTTTGGACGGATTGATGTCAGTCCAATCTCAAGGACGAAATCTTCATACTCAGTTCCTTAAAGTACAACATAGAACATTTTGTTACATTCATTTTGTCAGCAGCAGCTACACATGGTCAGTTGATGTTTAGTTCACTTGGTAGAACTATTTGTTCATACGTCAAGTTTGTTAATTATCATTCGATCAAAGTTTCAACCAAACACAAGTGAATTACACACCAGGCAGCAAACAAAATGTTTGATAAAGATGTACATCCAACTCACAATCTAAACATCGCCATATATCTTGTAAATGCTACATGTAAAACTTAATTTATAAGTAGTGAGAAAGTGAGTATGGGTTTACGCCGCTTTAAACTATACACCAGCACTAGTTACGCCAAGTTATTGGACATAGCGTTAGTTTCAAGCCACTTTTATGTTTCTGTGACTCAAGTGGTTAAAACGTTTGCTCGTCTCGTCGAAAACCTTGATTCGATTTCCATTATGGGTTCAATTCCACAATTTCGATAAGAATTGTGAAAAGTAGCTTGGTACACATTTGTTTACATCAAGACGTGGACGGTAAGGATAGCCAAGTTGTTAAAGCGTTCACTCGCCGCGCCGAAGACCCTGGTTCAATTCCACACCTGGGTACAATGTATGAAGCCAATTTCTGGTGTCCACCGTCATCATATTGAAATAGTGAAAGAAAGAAAGAAGGAAAGAAAGAAAGAAGGAAAGAAAGAAGAAGGAAAGAGAGAGAGGGGAGAGGAGGAGGGACGTAACGACTTCTCTCTTGATTTTATATTGCGAACTAAAGCTAAAGACACATACATTGTAACATCGAGACTTCATGATACATAATAGAGTAAAGATGACTAAAAATTGTAATTTCGTATGACTGATAATAAAATTAAAATCACAATAGTCTGTCGCTGATGTAGTTTTCAGGTTTATCCCTGCAATCGGTTTGGAGACGTTTAACGAAGTTTAACGAACAGACAACGGGCGACGGAAACACAACGTACAACGCGCCATGCCATACCACTGATCATCGGTCCCTGGGAGATAATGAAAACAGGGGTTATCTCCCATTAGTTACACGTCCCATTTATCACACACCTCCATATTCCTAGTTGTTACACAGCCTGAGAGGAGGCCAGGGTGGGATTAAGTAAGACAACACGTACCGAATAATGGACCAGTCCTAACTGGAGTAGATAGGATTATCACAGAGAAATGATGTGATATGACTAAAAGGCAACTAATCTGTAGTAAATATAAGGTTAATCTGCTTAACAACAATATATATGAAACAATGAGATAATCTTCGGTGAATTAATTGTTTATGTATTTATTTTATTTTTCTAGAGTCAGGTCTCTACTCCAGTTTTAATCTAATTACTCAATTATATGACTAAAAGGCAACTAATCTGTATTGCATGTATGGTTAATCTGCTTTACAAAATATATATGAAACAATAAGATAATCTTCGGTGAATTAATTGTTTATGTATTTATTTTATTTTACTATTTTAACTGATTCTGATTCTGATACTTAGGTGACCTATGTTGTACATTTTCAAAAGTACATTTTCTAGTTGAAAGTAGCTTCTACTCAGACCTGTGGTACGACCTTTGAAAATTAGCATACCAATATACCCTACACTAGTCCGTACTCTAAATGTGGAACGATTGGTCTATTAAACCACTTGCCGCATTTGTACCACAAGTGATTCAGCGAAGAAAACACAAGCTTTCGCCATAACCCCACCTTGTCCCAAGTAAAAATGAATGTTAACCACGGGAATATTCATGCATCTTGTTATGTTATGCATTTTTGTATATATGTTGTGTGTCTTACAGGCCATATGAACTGACATTGTATACTTTTTATGGATATTTTTATAGTCATATTATACAATGTGTGACACTATAATAAAATAATTTTCTTCTTCTTCAAGCTTTCTCCTCGGTCCTTTCTCGGCCTGGAGTCAGATGGGTGTTACGTCAAGATTACGTGACATAGGGATGACCAAATTGACAGCGTTTGGAGGGCAACTTGTAATTGCTCTTCAGGTTCACGTCACGTGGACGAACAAACATCCCTGTCTAGATTTCACGGACATGAGATTAGTGTCAGGTCATGTATTTGAAACAGGGCCTCGGGTACTTGCAATTGGGCGGCGGGTTAGACAACTGGTCAAGGCGTTCGCTCGTCACGCCCAAGACCCGAGTTCGATTTATCATCAACACTGAAGGTACATGTACAATGAGCGACACCCTTTCCCCAACCCTATTATGAGTACTTTGCAAACAAACACCATTGCTTTATGAAGTCTTTGAAAGACATTTATAAGTGATACACATAAGGAAGAGACTTTATGGATGTCAACTTCTTTATTGTGAGAAACACAACGTTTCTGAGTTTATGCTTCCTCCTTCATCAGGTGAATGGATGCTATGAGACAGGGGGCATATATATGTACATGCAAGAACAACAAAAGTAATAAGATAACAAATGGTGGCAACTTAACTGGAAGCCAGGACTTAAATTGAAACTGATTGGTAATTGGCAATGGACAATGGGCAACGGAAGGCCGGGGGTATTTCTATTCTTTTACCTATCAGTGCTAATTACCCTCATAGCATTCATTTACCTGACGAAGGAGTTAGCTTAGTCTCCAAAACCTTGTGTTTCTCACAATAAAGAAGTTGACATCCATAAATTCTTTTCCTTATTGCTTTATCAGTCGAAATATAGATTATGATTAACAGCTTGTGCAGATTTGTTAATATCTACCTAACTGTGTGTTAACCAAATGTAATGGCACAGGTCAAACAGAAACATTGCGACGATCTCTTCTCTATGGGCATGTGTGCCTGCTGTATATATATATATATATATATATATATATATATATATATATATATATATATGCGTTACAGTGCGCAATCTGTGTTTATATGCGATACACTTACAATAGGGAGGTAGTTAACTAATGTAAGTACACATTAAAGCTAAAACACACACATACAATGAAACTAACACTACATACACATAAAAAGTATAACTGATGTAAAATAGATGACTAAAAATATTCTATATCCTCATTAAGTTAAGTTTTTCGCCTTCTTGATGAAAAAAAAATCAGAATGACCATATTGTCAAATTGATATTACATATATAACCTTAGCAAATTCATTTGAACAAAACGACAGGAGTAAAGAAACGTACAATACAAACATAAAACAATGACCCTGTCGTTGATAAACCTTGTCAGACATAATATATTATAGTATTGTCATACATCTTCACAACATGGACAGCTTGCCTGTGTGTCAGTGTTCAAATGAAAGAGCGATTCCCCCTTACGTAAGAAACAAGATCTGTGGCCTATTAAAGTTGCCCGTACCTCATCAGTTCATCAGTTCATCAGGCTCAGGAAACAAAATGGCAGGAGCGAACTACCTCTTGCTGTATCTGGTATGAAATATATTTCTTATTTTTTAAATGCCAGAGTTTATCAAATTGTTTTCATAGGATTCCATTTTTCCCATTTACTTCAGCACCAGGTCAGTGTTTATAGTTGAAATTGTATGCAATTCATTGTTGAATTGGCTATAGGTAATTCAGATGTAGGGAGAGGTGTTTTAAAAGGTTGAACCTGTTCACCAATCTCATTCCTTTTTCTTGGAAATAAATATTGTTTAAATCAATTCAGATGTCGACAAAAATGTTTCATGTGTTTCATATGACAGTGTGTAGTTATTTTAGTGAATTTCAGTCAATTGCATTGTTCGTCTTAGGTCAATTGCACTATATCCTTTCACGGTTGCAATAGGGACTACATGTACACGTACATTGTTGCACTAGGTGCTACATTCTACACAAGCATATTTTATTACATCTAGGGTAAGCCAGTATCACTTATGAAAGAGAGGACTAAGTTTCTGGATAAAAGTTGTACATGTGGGGGCGATAAAAACTTAAATTATTAAAACGTCGATGTGTAGTGAGAATGATATGTCATATCATATTAGTTTATCTGACTTGATTCTGTATACATGCGTATTTTATTTACAGATTAACCATTGCTATCCTCGGCGGTTACAGCCTTTTCCCCAAACAACCCTTCATCATGTGCGGTAAGTAGGATTGAACATGCAATTATTCAGTGAAATATTTTGAGAAACTCATATACCGCTTGTGTTGCACAATGTTTCCTATATTCCTGAAAACAACACGTTTGATTGTATTAGGTAGTGAGTTGGTTTTTTTTGCCTCAAACAGTGTATTTATCAGATGCTTCAGTGATTCAAGGCGGACTTATTATGAAAGAAGGGTTATTCTAAAGGTTTTTGTGCTGCGTTTCCTTCAATCGATTCATTTAGTCACTTGGATTTCCCCTAAACTAAACTCCATCATTTCAAAGATTCAGCAAACTTTTTTGCATCCATCAATGCAGTACTCCTTCCCAATAATTTATTATCAATACTTTTCCTTGGCTAATATTTCTGTGTGAATTGTATTAAATCCTGTTTTGCTCGACGGGTTTTCGGTAGGACTCGAAACAAGGATCAGAACAATACTATCTCTATAGTCTTAAAACATAGTTTACCAATACGGGAATAAGGGTTAGTTCTTTTAATGCAACGATACGTCTACTAAGTTGGTCTTTGTTGATGGCAATTGTCGCTTAAAAGGTATCGTTATTAATATGTAACCATCACGTAAGACATGTGTTCGTTCTCTCAAAGAGTCTTTCTTGTGAACACTACTCTGGACGTGTTTGTTTGTTTGTATAATGCTTAACGTAATATTAACGATATTGAAACGCCCTCGGTGTGCTCCAAGTCTTCGATGCTGGCCACCTAAACCAGTAAGTCGCCTCTTACGCCCCGCATAGGTTGCTTGGGACTTATTCTATTCATTATTCTGGTGCCTTATTCGTGATATTTTCTACATTCTATTATATATTATCTTCAACACAGGCGATCCTATGTCCAGTAGGAAGTATTTGCAAAGTAGAGACCACTTTCTGCTTTACAACACCATGTCCAGGGCCAACTGCACGCTGTGTTCCAAGAAGTGAGTATGAATATTGGCGTGTGTAGTTTCATTTCATTGTTGCGATCGGCCCGAACATGTTCCTTGCAGGGTAAACTTGCAGTTTGGGTAGCCACTTGGTAGGGCTGAAATCGTTCTGCTGGTTAGTGCACCAGGCATCGGGATCAATAGATCTCAACGGATACATAACCACTAGACCTTTCATCAGCTCAGTGATGAGAGAGTGAATGTTGTTTTACGCCACTGTCAGCAATATTCCACGAAAGACTGCAAATAACCTAGCACGGTCCAGGGAAACCTTTGGTTGACACATAATCACTCGCACACACATCCGATCCTACTTCTAGTCACTTCCCACCACAAGCATTGGACACTTGGGACTTATTTTGTCCGGAATAACCACTAGATTATTGTCGTGGTGGCAGCAAAATTTTTGGAACTAAGACTGACTACTAGATCTAGCCGCCTTTTACGTCACACTGGGGACCTATTATATTTCAGAGTTGTCAATGCGTATTCCATGATTTACATCTTGAATAATCGTGATAATATTCATAAAAAATACACTAGTTTTGTTGCCAGTACATGGACCATTTACCCTCTCCCTGTATAATCCGAAATGTCATTGGACTCAACATCGTCATCCGTTTTCCACAGGTTCTGGACAAAATATACCTACATTGTATTAATTCAGTTTCAGATAAACCGGGATCATGTCCAGTGCAAAGCCCCGTCACAGGCATCTGTAGTGTGCGGTGCACCAGTGATGCTGACTGTGGGGGGGACCTGAAGTGTTGCGGAAACTGCCCCCGACAATGTACTTCTCCCGCCCTCCCCCGTGATAAGCCAGGCGTCTGTCCCAGGAATCGTAACAGGAATCGTAACAGGAATCGTAACCAGTTCCGATTCCCATTCCAATTCTGTCGCCGGCGACACCGGTGCAGTAACGACTTTGACTGCAGGGGCTTCTCCAAATGTTATGGAACTTGCCCACGGAGATGTGTCAGTCCTTTCGCATTCTTCAGATCTAGTAGATCTAGTAAATCAGACAATGACCGTTAACAATATAACAAGCTTGTGTGATCTACGCTTGCTTAGTTAATTTCAGATGGTACTTAAACAGAAAAAGTCGTTTGAATGACACCCTTCATCTGGATGTGTATCCGATCTTATTTGTATTTTATATACGATTCCTGGGTTTTGTGTAATAGGATACAAACAGAACATGAAAATGAATTTATTAATGACACTAAAACGTTTCATCTGGCACTTGTCTGGTTTGTCTTCTTTGTTCACATTTTCCGGTCACCATGTAAAGCAGGCCTTGTACCACAAGCGCAATGATCATAATGATTGATCCGATGATCGTGGGTTCGGAACCCAGAAGGGGCGGTTGGGTAGCCTAATGGTTAAAGCGTTCGCTCGTCACGCCGAAGACCCGGGTTCGATTCCCGACATGGGTACAATGTGTGAAGCCCATTTCTGGTGTCCCCCGTTCTGGTGATATTGCTGGAATATTGCTAAAAGCGGCGTAACACCATACTCACTCACTCACTCTATTCCGATTTTCTAAAATTTCTAAAGCGAGTTTATTACACTTATCTCTTTGACTTATCCTTTCTTTGCTTGTTACTGAGGCAGTAGGCTTGTCCAGGGGTTAAACAAAAGCGTTCGATCGTCACGACAAAGGCCCTGGAGCGATACCTTCATGACTACATTTAGTGACGCCCCTTACTGGTGTCCCCTGCAGATATATTGCTTGGATACTCACTCACTCACTCACTCACTCACTCACTAACTATGCTTTTTACTTTAGAACACTTCTTGTATTATTTGGACGATTTTGTAGTTTATTGGAATCTGATTTCTGTTCTTGACAGCCCCGCATTGCTTTATGAAAAGTATTTCAGTTTTCTTTACACCCTATCACAAGCCATTGTTCACTACGCAGGTGTTCCAGTGTGGTGTTCTTCAGGCCGAATATTTTCCTTCGGCTTTTTTTAGGAATTGGGCGACTTCATTCTCTATCTGATTGACCTGAATGATGTCTTCAGCTGGGTCATCGTGACCTTTTCTCGACTCTTGTAACTGTGTGAACTTTGAACTGATTTCTGTTGTGATGTTTTTGATAAATAAGTGTGTCTTAAAAACAGTGTATGTATTGTTGATGCGATATTGTTCTTGTTGGCTATGTTATATTATGAGATGGAATATTTAACGGGACTGCATAGTTCAGTAGAAAGAGTTAGTGAGTGAGTTTGATTTTAACGCCGCTTTGAACAGCATTTCAGTTATATCACAGCATGTCACCTTGATGTAGGATGTGAAGAGATGTGAGTCTCAGATGTTTACCATTTTGATGAAACTCACAAGAACGGGTAGGTTCTGACAAACCTAGAAACATAATCAGGGCGAATCTGGGTTTTGAAACCACGGCCTCATTCATTTCTGGTATACCTAAGGGACGCAACTCTGCAAAGCGAATTATTGTGTCAGCCGTGTCCCGAGTAGAAAGAGCAATTTAGAATTTACCCTTTCAAATAAACATGATGTTCAAGCTTACGCATTTCATACCCTGAACTATTTACACGGCCCATGTCCCGATTACCTCTTATATGTGGATATGCACTTGTACACAACAGATGTGATTCATTTTTTTACTTTTAAAATAGACGAGTAAACGCACTATCATGTCACTTGATTTTCTGGCCCATCAATTGTTTGTCTGATCTCTTTACAGGCCGCCGTTACATGGTAGGAGTACTGCTCGGCAGCGTTAGCAAACAAACAAACATTTTTTTAAAGCAAATTGTGTGAGTGACGAGTGCTACCGGTAGGACAGGACATGCTATCTGTTTTCGCGAACACCTCGTGTCAAGACTGATTTTCATATAACTGTCACCGCTATATTGCCTTTTACAAAATCTGTTTCGGCGGATAATCGAGACTGGTTATTCTCTGGCGTTATTATGATTATGGAAAGGGTTATGCCACTTTGAATCGTATCGTAAATGTCATATCTTTGGAATAAACATTCTATAATGGGAGCCATTTAACATATATAACGTAACGTAACGTAACGTAACGTAACGTAACTTTACTTGGTTGATTGCGTGTCACCGTAGCCCACTGTTCATTTTATTAATCACTGGATGTTCTGTTCTAATTTCGATTATTGACAGGCTGCCGTCATTTTGTCAGAATAATTCTGACTGCTGCGTTAAACAACAAACAAACACAACAATCACGAAAGAGATTATTTTAAACATACTTTATTCGCATGAAAGGGACTGGGTATAAGGTTTTGCATTCAAATATTTCCGTTCAGAAGAACTAAATCTAAATTATTTCCTTATATAAATCCAACGACTCATATATTCTTCATTAAGCCATTCATTAGCACTAAAGAAGAATGTTTAAATCTGAGCACTAAAGAAGAAGGCACCTGTAACTGTTAGCACTAAAGAAAAATGCATCTACAACTTTAGTGCAAAGCGACTAACATATCTAAAAACGTAAGCACTAAATGACGAATACATCTATAACTTTTAGAATTTATAAAACATACATCCTGTACATTACTGTAACGATGAGAGTTTTCAATGGTAGAGTTAAACAGTTGAGTTTTACAAATGGTCCTCACATTCAAAGTGTAACTGAAGATATTAATCACCCGTTTGAAGGCACAGAGCAATATCATACAAATAATGGCACATTTGCTCAGCACTTTAACAGGTCTTATCGTAAGTTTCCGGAATATCACACAACGTGCCTATATTTATACCATGAAACAAACACACAACACATCAGTTCATCTATCCCAGGTTATGATAAGAATAATTATTATTATCGTTAGTTTCTGGAATATCACACCGCAATTCGCTATGCAGAGTTGCGTCTTTTGCGCACGCCAGAATACTATGACGTGGGTTCGAATCCCGGTTCACCCAGACTATTTTTTCTAGGTTTGTCTGCACCTTACTCGTGGTCGTGGGTTTCACCAAAGTGGTAAACGCCCAAGACCCCCACATCTCTTTGGGCTTTCCTTCCACATCAAGCTGACACGCCATGATATAACTTGAATACTGTTCAAAGAGGCGTTAAATCCAAGTCACCGCCTCATTGCATCTCGCCATGTATAGACATTGTACATAAACGACGTTCCCAAAGGTGCCTGGGTTTGTTTCTAATGTTAAACATGGCATTTAGATTAGGGAATAAACCATCTGCATGTACAAGGTGAAATTCCATTATCACGACTTTGTCGTGAATGTGATCTACACACACAACCCTCAGCGACAAAGAAAGGACACACATGATGTGAATAAATTAGAGCCCTCAACTGACCCAGAGGTTACAAAGAAGAAATATGAATGTCGTGACAATTGCCTGACCGATATTTCACCCCCAAAAAATCACAGATCCCCAAAACTTTAAATGGTTGGTCATCTTTTAGACATATCTTTTCGTGAAACGAATCTGGTTAATCAGAAAAGAGAGTGGCATACGTGCCACGGAGTATCTTGTATAAGTCTCTGTTGTAAGTTATATCTTTGACACATGTGTCTGTATAGTACAGATGCAGGCATCATTATCATATGCGGTAGGTTCTCGATTTTTCTGCACCATCAGGCCTATGCTCATGCCTTTACAGAAGTTGTTAAGTCTTTCACACTCATCACTTCAGCCTCATTTCAACACCAAACTGACATGCCTTAATGTAACTGAAATACTGTTCAAAGAGGTGTTGAACCCAGCTCATTCTCATCCATATTAATCTGGCCAATAGATGCCACTTAATGAACTACTTACTCTAAACACCCACCGCTCTTCGTGCAGACGCTCTAGCCACTAGATCACTGAGGCGGTCTGTTAGACGGGACATCTAGCCAGAGACATCTCGACATTTGGAAAACTAGCACACACTAGAACACACACTTGTTTGATATAATACTGAAGAGCACTTTTTCATTCCGACCAGATGTATTTTTTTACATTATTATCTCAATGCATTTTAATAATGCTGAAATGAACATTATGATAATATATATTCTATGAGAGAAACGCTGCACTCAAGGTCAGATTTAATGCGAACATATGGCACACAGGAACAAACAGAAACGGATTGATAATGGTCACCTGCTCTAAATGTACTAAAATTTAAAGAAATCGATATTGTAATACTTTTAATACATGTTAAAACTAAATGACTAATACATCCATGCGCATTATTTTACTGAAACATCTGCAACTGTAGACTAACGCATGTATTATTCTAAGCATCATAGTACTAATTATACATCTATATAGATGACTTTAAGAACGTATAGATCCATAACGTTTTCACGCTATGTTGGCATCAACCCAGCTCAAGGGGATTAGCAGTCATCTTTACTGTCCAGGAGAATCGTGTCTTGTCCACGTGTTGTACCATCGTCATGGGCAGCCCTGTGGGTGAAATAGCCCGATGGCTAATGAATAATCGAGTCTTGACCAGAAAATCTGAATTATTGTATAAAATTGAGTAAACAATTCACCCACGCACTCCATACTTAACTAAACAGGTAATCCTGTTGGGCCAGGTTAAGTTAGTAGTTCATATTTCAACGCAAACTGTCTGGATATTATGATATTTTCACATGCATTATCCATCCATATCATGTTTACTCACGTTCCGAGTTCTTCTGCTTCCTTAATTGTTTCCGGTAGTGTCGTACTTTTCGTTTCGGGAAGAAGAAGAGCCAGAAGTCCTGATAGTGCCGTCACTCCTCCAAATACCAACATGGTTAGTATCTGACTGTATCTGCCACTGATGTGCATAGTCTGAAGAGGCAAACGAATGCTTAGTTCAGTCATGCTTCATTTACAATTAAACATTAAGCATTACACTGTGTACCGCCACGAGACTGGTTGTAAAACGTTGCTAAATGGATTCGAAGCCCGACAGTCTTCTGTTCCTTTGTGAGGACATTTTAACATTTGGAGCCACCGGTATACACCGCTGATTTCAGAATGATTTTCCGGGCATCTAACGAATACAACTCAACACATTTGACATAGAAACAATGAGACGTGAGGGATTACATACTCACCAGATCATTTATGTACGGTGATGATAAACTACCAATTCTACAAAACACAGAACTCATGGCCATGCCAAAGTTTCTCGATGTGGTTGGCAGCAACTCTGCCGTGAAGACGTACACGGAGGCGAAGCCGGCTGACACACAAGTGTTGCCTAGACACGCCAAGCTGTTGATGATCCATTTGTTAGCTGGAAGTATGAGTTAACGAGTGAATCTGTGAGTGAAAGACGCCGAAGTCAGCAATATTGCAGCTATATCATGACGCACAGTAAATGGTCAGAGTCTGGGTCATGTAACTAGTTGCTGACAGAAGAGCAACGATCCATGCAATCGGGTTATGGTGACATGCAGTCTCCGAATCTGACCACCACGGCTGACACAATATGCATGGTCATGTACCTGTGACCTATTCTGACCCTGAAATACGCTCAGGGAAAAGGTTGAAAAATATTACTTAGTAAGACTTAATATTGCAGAATATCAAGTGATGCCTGCTTCGAATTCGTTCGCAACTGAAAAACAAGTATTTTGCACTGGTGTTTGGACTGGGAGAGGGGATGTTGTGGATTTTGGCAAACTGATATGTCTCTACGACATGGGGGCCACATGGGGGCCACCATCTGGACTAGTGGTTGACGAGTGGAAGTTCCACGTATGATACGTATGATGTCAGATCACATAATCATCGTGATGGTACATTCTAACTACTTTGAGTACCGAATATATGTGGTCTTCCCTATAATCCTCAGACCCGTGAGGATCCGGGGTAGAATTGATCTTCAGCAACCCATACTTGCCGTAAAAGGCGACTATGCTTGTCGTAAGAGGGGACTAACGGGATCGGGTGGTCAGGCTTGCTGACTTGGTTGATGCATGTCATCGTATCACAATTGCGTGGATCGATGCTCATGATGTCAATCACTGGATTGTCTGGTCCAGACTCGATTATTTACAGACCGCCGCACACAGCTGGAATATTGCTGAGTGCGGCGTTAAACAACAAACATCATCATCATCATCATCATCTTCATCATCATCTATAATCCTCAAGTGGTGAGGTATTATGTTTGAAGGTGGACATCGGAATTGTAACATGATACGACACTAGGGCATGACATTATTGACACAAAGTCTCGTGAATACATACTTTATGCAATGATAACGTTTGGTTTGTTGGTTTGTTGTTAAACTCCGCACTCAGCAAAATGACCAGACAATCCAGTGATTAATAACATGAGCATCGATCCACGCAATTGGGATCGATGACATGTATCAACCAAGTCAGCGAGCCTGACCACCCGATCCCGTTAGTCGCCTTTTACGACAAGCATAGTCACCTTTTACGGCAAGCATTGGTTGCTGAAGACCTATTCTACCCCGGAATCTTCACAGGTCGATAACGTTTGGAAATAGGCAACTAACAACTTAATATAAGTCGAACTGTCCAACCTGCTTCCATAAAATCCTAATCATGGTTAACGCTTTTGTGACAAACACGACATTTCCTTTCTTCGAAGTTAACGAGTTCACTACCTCGTTGACATAAATGCAAAGTTTTGAAGTTTTTTGGACATGATTCGAAAAAGAGAAAATACTTATAGTTCAGACGGACATGCTGATCGCTGTGTTCGTTCATTCGAATATGCCATATATTACATGTAAAACATATTTACCGAAAGGTGATTTATGAGACTGAATGGTATCTTACGTTTATCCATGGCCAAGATAGGGACAAATGTGAGAATACACGTTGCTCCTGCCGTTAGCATGGAAGCACACAGCATCGTCTTCCGCCCAATGCGCCCCATAAGCAGAAGACAGATGACGTAGGCGCATGCCTCTAACAGGACAAACAGGAAGAAGTTGAGGTAGACGTTGCCAGAGAGGTTGGTGACGTTCATGCTGAGGCCATAAAATCCCATTCCTATGGCAAACCTTAAATTAAAATACACTGTATTTATTTCAGCCCCTGACTGAATCAAATTCGAGTCTGTCCACTTCATTTATGGTTTTCACCAAGAAAGTCGTTATTAGATATCGGTTATAAAGTAAGGGAGCCTACATTCGAAACTAAACGCACTTGTAGAGAATATGAAGTGCGTCCAAAACATGTCTTTATGAACTTCTATTTACATGACTGGAACTACAGCAGAGCTCTATAGGCTGGAGCTTGTACACACATTGCAAACTAGGCCTTCGGCGCATTAATAATCATGAACTATTCCTTTTATGGGACAAGTTCCCGGAATATATTGTTCATTGAGTTTGATTCACGTTTACACGTAACTTTCCCGTTCACATTATTCTACGACTTTATGCTTTGAATGATTTGTTGTATGTTAAAAGCATTACTGTTGCCTATCGAAATTAAATGAAACGCTTTTTTCAGAACTTTTTTTTATCGAATAAGAGTGACCAACAACAACGTGCAGTTTGACATCATCCGCAAATCCGAAAACAACGGAGATAGAGTAATTAGAGTGACCTCCCTTCCCCAATATCAACTACCGATATTGCGGGTTTGTCGATGTTTTATTTCCACATTATACTAACCAGGAGAGATACATTATGTGTATCGTGACGTTCCATTCAAGGGTAACGTGTTAGCATTCCAGAGTGATGTCAATGCGCTTGAAATGACTGATAGCTTTTGTACTTTACAATGTCGTAGATTGACATGTGTTGTAAAATTTGCGTGTGTTTACAGAATATTGGATTGATTGAAATTGTAACGCCTTGGGGTCAAAATGAAATTTCTGATTAAATCTTCTAAAAAAAATCTTTTTAATCACTGCAAATTGGAAAACAAAAAATGTTTATCTTCAAGTGAAATGTCTATAAAATATCATCATGTCACACGCGGGGCCTTGTATAACCATGTAAACTGGCGTGTTTATCGTGAGGTAGTTATTGATTTCATTTGCATTTGACAGTGAATCATCGTGCATTTCACTAATGACACTTACCAAGCATAAAGTATGATGAGTATTCGCTTCACCATAATGGGGGATTTCAGTAACTCCCAGAATTGTTGATCTCTATCATTGTTTGCGTAAGTGAAATCCTCTAACAGTTTGACCTTGTTCGCCTTTGCCATCTTCATCACCATTTTGTTAGCTTCCTCAACTCTCCCTCTACTGTACTGCCATCGTGGGGATTCCGGGAGAAAACTACAGTACCATAAACAGAGATGCTCTTCTTAAGGTGGAGATACTATATTGCCTGAACTTACACACTACTTATCAAAAATGCATAATACGATTAATGTCTTAACCTTCCATTGAGTGCCCTGTCTTCTATGGCGATGCACCTGGCTGTACAGATCTGTTTCTCTTAATCTTAGGATTTACTGATTTTGGGTGTTTATCCTAGATATGGCTTCATAAACAAAGTGTCAAACATTTATGTCCCACAACACTTTAGCTCTGAGCTTGATTTTCTTCTCCAACAATGTGCTATTCATTTTGTAAATAAGGATAAACAATATATGTTTTAAGCCTACGGGATTGAGTGAATGACTGTGAGGGACGAGGTAGGTAGTGAGCTTAGTTTAACGCAGCTTTGAACAGTATTCAGTTATGTCACGGCATGTCAGCTAGATGTGGGAGGAAATGCTGTGGAAGTGATGCTGGCCTCGGACGTGTAGCACTTTGTTGAAACCCACACACACTGACAATCCTAGAAACATTATCAGGGCGAGCCGGGTTTCGCACCCATGGTAACAGGATTCTGGTGTGCCCAAGGGCCGCAACTCAGCACACGGTAGATGGTGAAAGTGCAGATGATGACCTCCTTACTATAGGTAGACGAACATGACGCCTGGGATGCTGACGACAAGCTGTCGGATCTTCCAATCTCGGATCAAGTAGACGGCCAGAGCAACAATCGCGTTTCCCGCACTCCAGAACAGATTCTTGGCCACACCCACCAACATCCGTTTGGACGGGCCTACAATCTCCATGCCTAAGGAGAAAGCTACACTAGTTACAAACATGTTGTTCATACTTCCTTTTACCATACAAAATATCATCACTGCGTTGTACGAACACAACATCTACAATTACTTTGTGTACATATTGTTGCATAGGACATAAATACTCACAAACTGTCAACATAAAAATACATCTTTTAAATCTATAGTGCCGATACGAAGACATCCGTGATAAAAGGGTTACATCGCCTCCAAAAAGCAACCATCAAAAGGTCATTTCACCCACTGATTAATCCCAAATGAGGCTTACATTTAATATCACTGTTTTTTTCGATACATACATCTGTTTAGTCGTGCCATGTGCAGAAAGCAAAACAAATGTCAAATGTCACGTGTTACTTCAGGTCTTCCTTCCCACTTTTATCGCTCGATGGCGTCCTTTAATAAGGTGGTTCGAGTTAACCAGGTGTCACTGTATATGCTAATATGAGGTGGTTCGAGTTAACCAGGTGTCACTGTATATGCTAATATAAGGAAGTGAACAACGTACTAAATACAAAAGTAGTCAGGTACTGTGTGTTGAAGCTGGCTGTGATGACGAGTACTATTGTCAGGAACAGGTAGAAATTGGTGACCCAGGGGAGACAAATGCTGTGGAGGATACCAATAAACATGGCGACGAGGATCACCTTCCGCCGACCAAACCTGCAACACACATTTATACTTTGGTATGCATCACATCCTAGCTAACATCGGATTGTGCAAATTGTGAATCACGACCTGAAAGTCGAGGATATGTCTTCATGAATATATATTGAAAGATTCAGAGTAAATGTATTTTTATTGAATTTTATATGAAGCAAAGTTACTTTTTCCCGTTGGTAAATGTTCAACAACACAGACCCCAAATATACAATGACTGTCGTTGGAGCCGGGTATTTTTTTTATCAATATCGGTGCCTTGCTTGCTTCCGTGTTGGTTGTTGCTCAAAATATCAACGACTGGTTTGTATATAGTTTGAATGTCGCCGGCTGCTGCAGGCGTAAAACAACAATTAAACAAAACAAAACGAACGATGTCCGTTTATTCTTGATTTTCAATCTGTCGCCGTCAAATAACTGCTACAGTGATTCAGGCGGCGTTAAACAACACGCTAACAAATGATAAACAAACAACAAACAAACAAACCTACATATCCGAGAGTGGTCCGCTGATGAGTACCCCAACCAGTTGTCCAACAAACGCGGCCATCTTGGCGTGACTTACATACAACTTTCGGTCGCACACAAGGTCCATCTAAATATAAGACAATTGACAGTAAACATCTTAATCCTTCTGGTACCAAATCGCGTACATCTAAGTTATGGTTTCATGTGATCTGAAACTTTCTTCCATTACGTCACGCTGATGGAAAGACATCCTTGTTGTTTGTTGTTTTCCGTCACACTCAGCAATGATCCAGCTGTATCTGGTAGTCTGAAAGTAATCGTGTCTGGACCAGATGAAACAGTGACTGATCGTGAGCAATTGGGATCCACACCGTCTGGGTACGTTGACACGCTGCCAACCAAGTCGTGTAACATCACACACTTCTATACTTTACAGAATACATTTCTGTCGACGTTAGATTACAAATATTTATCGCAGCGATCTGTTCATACCTTCACTTAAGCTTTACCACGGCTGTAATATGCCTTAAAAATATGCACGAGATAATCATTGGAGAATTTATAAGTTTGCGAACTATGAAAATGAATGTATTTAGAGAATGGTCACGGCCTTTCATTGATTTCGTATGTATAACGTTTCTCTCGCAATATTACGTCCAGGCAATTCACCAGATCCCTCCAGAACAAACTCCATCTTCATTTCTGTTGAAGTATTTTGGGATTGTTACCAGATTCGTTCACAAAAAATTGACAAACACTGATTAACGCAGATTTAACGTGACACTTTGAATATGGTAAAAGAACGTGTGTTTTCGCTTAAACAAATAACCAAGACACAGACTTCTCTTGATCTCGAGATATAACATCATTAGTAGTAATCAATTCATCAATGATAATAATCAGGAAAAAAGATCAAATGATATTAAGTCCTTTTCAAATACATACTAGTATCAAGTTGGGGATTATAGTGTTTGTGGTGGGGCAAAAATGGATTTTGTTGCAAGATTATTGCACTATACAGATGTAACGACATTCCTGCGCGCGTGTGTGTGTGGTTGTTTGTGCCAGTCCTGACTTATGCACGTTTTATAGTGTTATCACACTGAGGTACCATGCGACAGTTTTTTTATGGATACCCCACTCAGACACATTATACTGATTTCGTGTCGACCAGTTCTTGGTATAATCCCGTTATGCCAAGCGCCAGGCATGGTAACAAATACCATCTTGTAACGTCTTTTGGCATGTCGTGGTCAGGGGATTGAGCCGTCTTCCCTCCGCTCTCCGGACAGACTTTCCGCCAGACCACAGAGGCGGTCGATTGCGGAATGTGGGTAAAGGTATTTTAGCATTGTCATAATTGTTCGGGTAATAGGTGAGGTATGAGTATGGGGTCTATCTAAAGATAACTTACAGATTGAGCAGCAGTTGATTGGTAGACCGTTCGGTCATATATCCACTTATGGCATGTCTCGGTGTTGTTATGCATATAACCTGATGAGGCACTCGTAGAGGCTTGGAAAACTAAGCAGGACGAGTACTCCAAATCCCCATTGCTACCCTTTGCGTGGGGTATGGTCACGTTGATAAGAGCGGCATGAGCCTGGTTCTGAATGTTGAAGGTATCATTGTTCAATCCGGGAATGGCGCACCTGCAACTCAGATTCAGGTAATGTGTCCAACATGGGCCAATTTCCTTGCATTCTTATCTTGTATGGACAAGATATATGGTAGTCGCCAACTGGAATCGCAAGAATTCCTGTGTTCAGGTTGAAGAAGAGTTTTTGAATCGATGTGAGTATGGTTGTATGCCGATTTTAGCAATAGTCAAGGAAAAGGATGCCAGAAATGGGTTTCACATATTGTTCCAACAGAATCGAACCAGGGCCTTTAGCGTGACGAACTAACACTTTAACCAATAAGCTACCCCACCGCCCCGCCGTCGCGTTTGTCTGACCTTGTTGCTTTTCCGATAAAGAAATGTATCAAAGGTAACGTTGCTGTTATTCTGTTATTGCAGGACTTACCTATGCTGTGGCACAGCGAATAGAAACACGAATATACCCATACCAATAGCTGAAGTCTGGATAGCCGGAAGACTGAGCAGTAGGTACAGACGTTTCTGGGAAGGTCCAAACTCCCCCAATGTCACAAGCAAGTCATCGAACTTCATCACTTAGATGTCACGCGAGTTCCTTCTAGAAGAGGCTTGTAAAGTACCGTCTTTCAATGAAGAGAGCATACAATGCACTTACATGTGTGTGCCGCCTTGGATATGTTGAATCGTGAGTTGGCCATACAAAACCTGACAACGAAAACTGAACAAGTTATCTTTGGGAGTGTGTGTGTGTGTGTGTGTGTGTGTGTGTGTGTGTGTGTGTGTGTGTGTGTAATAATATCATTTAGCACTATTCCAGGTAGTGCTTATAACAGAGTCTTCAGTACGATTCCGACCATACCATGAGCATATGTTTCTGAATAACTATAAAATAGTGATGATACCGGGTGAAAAGGTGAGCGTATATATCCTGCCCCGCAAAAGGCGCCCGTCACAAACAAATACAAAGGCAAAACAATTGTTGACCTAAACAAATAAGGGAACATAATTATGGTATAAGTCAAAATAGGGAATTGCATCATACTATAAGGAATGAACTGAGGGGCAAAAGAAGATATACCTAGTTTTGTGTTTTATGTGATTGAAAATTGAAAGAACAGTTGTTAAATTTGATTAAGTCTATTTAGCCATCATTCATTCCTGCAACAGTTTGTAAAAAGTAATCTGTGGCAGGTAATTTTATGTACAAATACATTGGTACAATGAAGACTTGGGTAAGAATCAATTTGCAACTACCTGACCATTACTAATTTGAAATGTTGTAAATTTGTGCCGAAAAAAATCAAATTTATTGATTTAGCTAAGATGTCTCGGATACCATACATCAGTTTTAAAAGAGTGTTGACTGAGCACCAGTACAGTTCATTTTGGGATATAATATCGAGAACTTAAGATATTTTCATTTAAACATCAAACATGTGATAAAATGAGCTGAGAGGTACAGTTTCCTCAGTTAAGTTAATGATGAGGTAACAACTAGAAAACGTTGATAACCCGTGTTCCATTCCCCACATGGGTACTGTTATGTGTTTGAAACTCAGTGTGGTTCTACGCCGACGATTGCTAGATTAAAACAAAACAAAAACAATTCATTATTAACAAACAGTTTTAATAAGATAATTCAAAACTAAGTGATTTACACATACCTGCCCGGAGCACTTCAACCTCAACACACCCAAGGAGGAGCAGTGAGAGCGCAACAAATGCATTATGCCACCATTTGTCCACATGAAGTGACGTACTTTGCAATCAAAATGCGGAATCGGCGTGATGTTGAATATCTATGTACGTATATTGCTGACGCCTGCACACTTTTTCATGTGACTAAATGGGTTAAGGTATGCCAAACACGGGTGGAAAAGTAGTTAATCAGTATAGCTCTATATAAGTCACGTCCGAGACGAATTGTACTTGTAATCGGGTCTGCATCTGTATCGACATACTGGTAATACCATGGGCAGATGCTCTATCCACTGAAGATATAGTGACACACTGGTAAAGCCAAACTCTGCCCAATTATAACATACTAGCACAATCCGTTTACATCTAAAGACTGTCCGCTTGAAGGACCATATTCACCAAGGTATATAGTGGTTAGTTTTCGCTAACACCTATTTGATAGTGATTCATAATCACATGCTCGTGATATCATCGGAAGCGTACAATCGACTCTGTATTTTGGCAGAAACCTTTTGGAAAGGTTTTTCTATTCACAGTCAGGCTGGTTAGGTTGTATATTCACAGAAAGTCCAAGGATTTCATTGATTTTTTGCAATCTTAGAAAAGAACCAAATTCAATTCTGTCAAAACTTACACTGCTATCCCACACACCAAACTAACGGGAAAACATAATTCCTTGATCCATGAGGCTTTTGTTACTAAACGTGGTGACCATAGATATAAACTAGTGTCCAAAAGAAACGATACCACCTGTTTGCAACGACATAAAAGAAAAACTAAACAATGCAGAGGTTTAGGATTGGTGTTATGCTTTTGAGAAATCCTTTCACAACATCTGTACAAAAATTTCATTTCAATAAAATCTGTACAACCAATATGACAAGCCTTTAAAGATGGGTGGGGTCGAAAAATGAACATTTCGTTAGAGCACTGATCACAGAAACAACGGGAAATGTCACACCACACGTCTCAAAGTCAAGTCAGTAGCGGGTATGTCCACCGTGAGCATCAATACATGCCAGAACACGCCTACGGACTGATGACGTCAAACGTCTGATGACGTTGGGAGTGATGCGTTGCCATTCCTCGAGGAGACATCGTTCCAAGTCCTGGACGTTGACTGGAGGCACACGGCAACGTCAGATTTGCCGATCGAGGTGGTCCCATAAGTGCTCGATGGGATTCATGTCCGGTGAACATGCGGGCCATGGCAAAACCTGTACGTTGGCGTTGGCAAGGAAGTTCTGTGTCAATCTTGCTGTGTGTGGCCTTGCATTGTCATGTTGGAAAAGGAGTCCACGAGGCTGTTGCTGAATAAAGGGCACCACAACAGGCCGTAGGATGTCATCAAGATAACGCTGTGCATTCAGGTTTCCACGAATTACGACAAGCATCGTTTTGACGTCACCACATATGCCACCCCAAACCATTAACCCTCCACCTCCAAACGGCCGGACCTGTTGGATACAGTTAGGCGCCAAACGTTCACCAAATCGTCGGTATACAAGCTGCCGTCCATCGTTTCTGAAGATGAGGAATCTGCTCTGAATCAGAGAACATAACACGTGCCCAGTTCCGCCGTTGCCAACGTCGAACTCGCCTGGCCCAGATCAGTCTGTTGTTCCGGTGTCGAGGCGTCAGGAGCAGTCCGCGGTAGGGATGACATGGCCGGATACCATACTGCCGTAGTCTCCTGTAGACGGTCTGTCGACTGATCCTGTGTCCCAGTGCTGTAGCCGCCGTGGACGTCGCTGTTACGGTGCGGTTCCTCAGGTGTAATACCCGGATGTAACGATCTTCACGGGGCGTGGTTACTCGTGGTCTTCCACTCCTGGGCCTGTCTGACGTCTGACCTGTCTGACGTAACCGCTGCATCAACCTGGTGATAGTGATGCGTGCGCAGCCCAACCTTCTGGCGACGTCGACGTGTGACGCTCCTTGTTGGACCATTCCAACGGCTCTCTCTCTCTCGATGGCTGTCAAACGTGGCATATCTTGTGTTCTTTTTGTTGCTGTGATATCAACGTGTCTGATCAGCCGTTTTATACAGTTTTTCTGCACGTGCAGAACATGCTAGAGAGGGAAATGTCACTTTCACGAAATTTACGTTTTTTCCCGGAAGTGATCACGTGTTCCCGGTATTTTTTATAGACTATGCTGTGTTTGGGATGTGCAATACGAATTGGCATGTTTTCATACTTGACAATTCACTTAGTAAAAAACTATTTTGAAAATAAGTTGGTATCGTTTCTTTTGGACACTAGTTTAGTTACATTTATATCTTTAGATGTCCAGGACAAGTAGTCGAAAATGAAAGCAGTTTATCATCGACAACATCAATGTGAAATTTGGGGGCAAGACATTTTGGCAAGAAGAAGTCATCAATGGGCACCACGCCAATTATGCTTCACTTCTTGCAAATATGTTTCTTTATGCATATGAATAGGAATTTCTGCTTGGAATAATTTATCAAAATCAAAATAAGAGAATGTGGCCAAAAAGGTTTTAACCGCTATCGTTCTATAATTGCCAAATAACATATTCACATAGAATTCGCATTTACCTTCGTGAACTAGAAATAAAAAGAGACCATTGAGATATGTTTCATATTTAGATCAATGCATAAAGCTCTAAATAGTGAGTACAAGAGCGACAAGAAACTACCCCATGACTGTATGACAAGAGGGATGACTTCAACGTTCCAAAGTCAACTTCCTTTTTATGTCGAGCAATATTCCAGGAGGTCCGGGCTTTGGTACAGCATGTGGTACAATCGAACATGCTATTCCTACGAAGATCTCAAAGAGCGTCAAACGACGTTTGTTCAGGGTTACAGAACTCGAGGTCTTAGCAAAGCTTTCAAAAGGTTTTATGGTAGACAGACTTGACGCATCAGTAACAATGTAATTCCTTATTTTAATTTGTAGCTCATGTCCCCGTGTTTTTTAGGTGACGACTTTGACTTGCCTTTGCACTTGTTTGTGACCGATTGAGCAGGATAACCTCCCCTTTTCACGAACAACTGGATGGTATCATCAGTACTTCGAATTATGTAAAAGCTTCTGTATACATATTGTCAATTGGAGATCAGTTAGTGACAAAGAGCGGAGTTTTACATGTTTCAGTAATAGGGGTACTAGCTTGGTAGACTACTTTATCGCATCATCAAACATATTCCAATATATCATAGATCAAGCTGTTCACTCAAGACCAGATTCTGATCATCTACCAGTTTCATGTCAGCTAAAACTTCCATATATTTCCCAAGTTCAAATGGCATTATTACGGTAACGAAGAGTTTAAAAGTCGATTTAACTCTGCTATGGGCAATCATATAGTTAATGATTTTCTTGATGTTGTACATACGAATGTAAATGCAGCGACTGCTAAAATTGTCGAATTACTCCAATATGCTGTCAATCACTTTAAAGTTATAAATTGAAATATATCAATCGATAGAGCGAGACAACCTCCTTGGGGGTTAACTCTGAATGTAATGTGCCAAGAGAAAGAAACATATGTGTTTAGATTTTCTTAGGATTTACAGATCTGGAGACAATTTAGAAAATTACCTGACAGCAAAGAAGATATACCATAAATTGTGTTATGAAAAGAAACAAGCTTTTAAAATGTCTGTCGTACACGAGATTGAATCTGCTGTACAGTCAAACAACTGTAAAGTGTTCTGGAGAAAGATAAATCCTTACTGTGTTCTAACAGTGTTCACAGCAGTGTATCAAGTTCTGATTGGTACAAATACATGTACTTCAGAAAATTGCTAAATATCAAAGATGCAGAATCACATGGTGATTTTGATATAAATGTGAAACAGTATATTATCAAACATGATTATAATAACTGTGACTATTGTAATACTACAGATATACTGTCCAAAGCAATTACTGACGATGAAATAAGGGCAGCTATTAGAAGTTTAAAGTCATGTGAAGCACCTGGTACTGACAGTCGTTCTGAAGTGACCCGTAATGGGATGTCCTCAGATCTTTGTTTAGCGGCAGCAAGAACTTAGATCTGATTTTAATGGGATTGGGTGGACTATAGGAATGATTGTCCCACTGTATAAAAAATGGTGACGCTCGAAATTCGGACAATTACAGGGGAATTTCCCTTTTAAATATTGTTGGTAAAATTTTCACTTCAGTCCTGGAACTGAGAATACGAAACTGGGTTGAAGGTAATGATACGCTACACGACGCATAAGCGGAATTTAGAATTGATGATTCCACCACTCATCATTTTTTGTTCTTCAATCCCTATGTAGTCAGAAATATCTTAGAAAAAAACCCACAAATTTTATGCCTGTTTCATAGACTTTAGAAAAGCCTTCGACTAAGTTGATAGAAATAAGTTGTTATATGTGCCATATCAAAAAGAGGTGTTCATGGTAAAATGTTTATTATCCTTTGAAATGTGTATGAAAATATAAAAGCATGTGTACGGGTTGGAGATGTGAAAAAGTCTTTTTAACATAACAAGTGGTGTTAGACAAGGATACATGTTGAGTCCTGTTCTTCTTATATTTTTTATAAACGAGTTTGCACGTGAAATGGAGATTCTTGGGCTAAGAGGCATATTTGTGAAAGATAATTTTGATGAAATCATGTTATTATTATTTGCTTGTGATGTCACTCTTGTTGATGATTGTGTAATTGGACTGCAGAGAAAACTAGATGCTTTAGACTCTTATTGTGACAAATGGGGCCTTGAAGTTAATTTAGATAATACAAAAAGTCATAGTTTTTAGAAAGGGTGGTTATCTGAGGAAAACTGAGAAATGGTTTTATAAAGGTTCGCAAATTGAAGTTGTATCATATTTCAAATACCTTGGTCTACTTTTCTCTTCAAGGCTTGTTTGGACTAAAGCATGTGATACACTAGCCATTCAAGGAAGGAAAGCGACTTTTCCTGTGTTAAATATGATAAAGAAAATCCTATCTCTCCCATTTTCTACTTCTGCTAAAATATTTGATACAAAGATTGCTCCTGATATTTTTATATGGCTCAGAAATTTGGGGATGTGCCTATAGAAAAAGCATTGAAAGGGTTCAGAGAAATT